AGGAGGGCCGGCCCGAAAAGTCTACTCCGAGTGGGCTTGGCGAACCTATTCCTGATGCGAGTTGGTGGACTGCCTGCCCTTCGCAGCCGAGGTGAGGGCAGGGGAGTGTTGGTATTGTGTGGCGCCATACATCTATCACTGGCGGTGCGCTCCGTATTTAAAAAAAATATAGTGACTGGCCGGTATTGCATACAAAAGCTTTTTGTCTCAAAACTGTTTATGATTTGCCTGTGGCACTTGACTAAGTTACGATATTGAATTTATGTTACCATAGATGGCAGTAGTAGGTTTCGTCTCAATTCCTTAGGCTATTAAAATACTAACAATTGAATACTTGTATGTTGGAATGCTGTTATAAAAATTAGTTTTTTTTTAAACGTGATAAATACATCCAGCCGAAAGCAGGTATTATAGGTGTCATAAAATGACAATGGCGGGTCTAGTGCGGGCATCAACAACGTGAGGGGGTGGGGGAGAATTTTGATTCAATATCCTCAGGCATTTTTCAATCGATATGGTGTGAAAATTATATGGATAATGTTTGAATTTAGTGATAGCTGATGGAGCGAAAACTACCGTTAAATCAGTTTCTTTATTTGAATTGCTCAAAAGACTATTTTATTTTCTGGATCAACAAAGCGATGGGAAGAAGTCTCCGAGCAAATAGGAGGATTATCGCTGAGAAATGTTTGCGAAACTCGCTTTAAGAGTAAGGTTTCTAGTCTTGCTGCTGTTCGGTTTCACTTTTCTTCAATTTGTGATGCCCTTCTGAATCTCCATAAGGAAACGAATGAATCAGTTGCAACATCAGAAACCTTGTCACTAATTCAGTACAATTCAAATTAATAAAACAAAGAAGCAATTTGAGTTCACAGTTACAATGGTGGCTTGGTTTGATATATTGTTTCAAATAAAAAATTGTAAGTAAGGCTATTCAGTCATTCTATGGATTTACCAAACGTTCAACAATTGCTGAATAACTGCTCGGAATTTGTGAATCAGTGCCGAGCCTTTTCATCTACCCTAATAGCAGTTAGTAAAATAGTATTTCAGGCTGAGATAGATCCATTTTTAAGCCAGCTCGATCCCAAAGAAAGAAATTATTATTTGGGTACGAAGCCGCAGATGACACACCAACTGATCCTGAAGAATTGTTTCAAATTAACGTTCTTTAACCTATGATGCATACAATTGAAAATGCATTGGTCACTCAATTTAAACAATAATCAAAATCCAATCATACATAATCATTTTTATACAACATACAAAAAAATCGGAAAGGTCCATATTGGATAAAGCCTCTGCTGATTAGGAAATTAGTTTAACCATTAATAATCACGAATAAGCAACTGTATAGCATAGCAACACTGAGATTTTGCAAGTAGAGGAGCGCCACTTTGATATCTCGCACCACCTAAAAAATTGAAAATGATTTCTTATATTTACGCGAACACTACGCTATTTATGTCAGACCATATGTCAGAAGTGTCACAGACAAGATTGACTACATCTTGAAACGAGCTTCTATTAGAACATTCTACAAGTCGCCAAAGAAGATTAGTCAGTTCTCACCATGCGTCAAGTGCTATATCCCTCTACAGGATGCAGGTGTGTACAAGCTTGATTGTGAATGTGGTCTCTCATATATAGGCCAAAAAAAAAAGATTTATAAAACACGCGCGATAGAACATACAGCTGACATCAATCACCACCACTCTGGGAAGTCAGCAGTTTGTGATCATATCCTAGACGACCCCCGCCATTACATCAGATTTGATAGACCACTAATCCTCGGGAAAGAACATCGATTCCTGCAGACGATGATACGGTGAGGCTATTGAAATTAAAAAAAAATTCTAATTTCAATAGAGAAGAAGGCTGGGTACTACCACCTGCTTGGGATCCTGTAATTAATAAAATTAAAACTAAACCCAAGCATACCACTGCAAGACTTCAAGACACAGTAAGCTCATTCTGCATAGATCGAACCAAAACTAATAATTAAAAAGCTGAGGGTACTCCGGGCTAACTCTGACATCGGGTCGTCAATCACCTCAGTTCCCCGTGACCATGAGTGCTAGAAAGCACCCGAAACGTCGGGAATTAATAAAAATAAGCAAAATAAGTTAATTAAACGCGATAAAATCCGTAAAAGTAGTTTAATTCAATAGATTAATAATCTTATAAACTAGTTTCACTAGAATCACCCTGTGGTACTATTAAGTATTTTCGATTAGATTTAGGCTCTTAGACCCAGTGGACGGTTACGTTTGATGACAAATAAAGATAAAGTTACAGGGAGTGCGTTATTCTGGTGAGAACAGACCCCAGACCGAAATTCTAATCTCTTTGGGAGATTAGAATTTCGGTCACGGCGGCCAGTTTCAAAGGAGACACTAGCACAGCAGAGGATAATAGTGCCCGAGTGTATGTGCAAGCACAGATGCACTCTCTATTCCCTGACTCTCATATTGCGATGGGACGGCAATGCGACACGATTGGAGAGACATCAGGCGCAGGATCAACAGCTTAGCACCGCCAGGTTCCTGACTCCAGGCTGCTACTGAGCATTTATTGTCAGAAAAACCCAATAACTGACTTTGACCCGACCCGGGATTCGAACACGGGACCTCAAGATCGTCAGTCGCGTTTACGACCACTCTACCAAAGATGCCGACATCTATTTTTACGTTAGTTTATTTACACGTTAGTTATTATGGGTTAGTACTTACTCAACCACTAGTACCGTGGCAGTTCAACGGCTAGGCGCTCGCCGTAAAATTTACAGTATGCGAGCAACCCGGGCTCGATTCCCGATCTTCAAATACCATATTATAATACATACCATTGAAAGTGTTTATTGCAATTTTAAATGTTGCTTTAGCATGTGCTTGGGCCGTGTAGTGTCTGCGTATCATATATAATCATCCCGTGGGTGTCGTAAAGGCGAGTGGGGGAAACAAATCAGATGGTCATCAGCGTCTTCTTAATAACGAATGAAATAAAAAACTGCGGTTGCCAACCTGCTTACCCAGCGTGGCAACTATGGCAAATATCCTCCTATGAGGCAATCTAGGGCAGGCCTATGTTCAGCAGTGGAGGCTGTAACACCAACATGTGCTTGACATTGAAGTAAAAATGTGAGAAAAAAGCAACGCGGCAGACTTCCTTGCCCTAAAACTCCCTCAGAAATGAGAGGATGCCTCTGCTCAAAAGACAGACGTATATAGGCTATAACTTTATCCACCCGCTAAGTCAAGTAATCATGCAGTGATCTTACAAGCAGTAACACAGATATCGTATGATGACAGAGTAAGAGAACGCATCACTCAGATTCATCCTGTGGGCGTCACAAGAGGCAGTTATGGGAAATAGAAAGACCGCTTCCGATAGATGAGTGTACTCATCCCGTTTATTCCAGAAGGAAAATACTATTTTATAGACTGATTTACTGATATACTGTGCATACTTCCCAACTATGGTGCCCAGACATGCTTTTTGACGGTCCACAGAGGTCCACACTCGAGATTTGTCAAAGAGCAATGGAACGGAGTATTCTGGGCATTAAACTTTTAGACCGGATTAGGACTACCGAAATCCGTTTCAGATCGAAAAGTGACACGAAAAGATACTACGCTAAAATGGAACTGGGCTGGACACATCTGCCGAATGCCAAATAAGTCCCTATAAAAGGCAAACGTCAGCGAGGCAGACCCAGGCGGAGATGACGGGATAAACTGGACTCTTTTATGAAGGACTGGTCTATGGTGGCTTTGGAGAGAGAGAGAGAGAAGTGGAAAGAGAGTAGGGGGGTCTTTGACCTTCAGTGGGACATTTCAAGCTATTAATAATAGACTGATGAAAAAGAAAAAGAAAAGTCAGTAGCGTATTTAAACACTGTGTCATGGGCTTGAGTGAAAAAACCAATTAAACTCAAAATTATGTAAAGATATGGAAAACACAATTGTATTATAAAAGTAAACACATTCGCCAGAGAAAATAAAAACAACTTCAATTCCATTATTTGGTTTATTGTGCTGTAATAAACAACTAATTGTGTATTTGACATCTGCACTGTTCCTAAATTTGTTATAATTATTCTAATAAGGCATTTATTTTAAACATTTATGGATGTCTTTTTACATATAGCTATAATCTACGTGGTTAATTTATATTTTATATGTATCAAAGAAACACGTAAATGGCTATCTATGACATTATACTAAATACACTTATATCGCTAATTCTATACATTATCACAGAGTCACAATACAAAATCCATTCATAAAGTTATTAAACTATTTATTTGATACTTAACTCATTGTTGGTTTTAATATGTTAAAAGGAAAGGATAAACACGGATTTAAGGTTAAAAACTCAACAATTTTATTTAAGGTGTAAACTATATTTAAGTTTAAATCAAAATGAGCGTAAGTTTAATCGTTTCAACCTCTTGTATAATATCTGCTACTTTATTACGAATAAGTATTAAGTAGTAAGTGTAAAAACAAAATACGGAAGTCTGCATAGAGTATAAAAGTCTGAAAACGTCTTGTTTGTTTATATTCTTTATTTTGGATAGATTAAACGAAATAGTTTTAAGGGGAGAATTATGGCACAAACTAGGCAAATTTTCATTACACATTGCACTTTTTCATTTATTATCTAATAACGGTTTTATCTGTGCACAATAAGAAAGGCCATAAACCAAAACTAAGTGAATGGATTCTGTACACAATACAACTACATTTTTCTACGGGAAATTATTTTTAATTAAGTCTAGTTACAGAAACCGAATCGGTTTTTTTCTTGTCAATTACGCGTTCTGCTTCTACTATGTAGTGTTATTAATTAATAAAGAATATTTTATTACATATAAATATATTATATTAATGTAATTAAAATGCTGTTTCTTTTTTAATTCAATTATTTCATATATCGCAAGCTTAACAAGATATTATATAGGTCGTGGTAAACGTCGACTATTAAAAAAATTTATGTTAATTTCCCGCCTTTATTTCCGAACTGACAGTTTCATTAAAACAATCATTAGAGACGCCACTTTGCACTGAGCAATAACTCACTGGCGAACTTCTATTACTCGAATTTTTTTCTTCACTGTGATACTCTACCATACTACCACTTGGCTGACGAAGTATATTCTGGAATGCAACTGGATAAGGATTGACGATTTTGTCGGGTTTTTTTAGAAGTTCTTCGATTGAATAAGGGTTTTTCTTTTTTTCTTTTTCTTTCGAAGTTTTGTGATCTTGTTCGTCATCTGGCCTGTCAGTGCTATCATCACTAGCTTCAACAGAAATATGTTCTGAACCTTCTGATTTGACTTCATCAGGGTTAATTCTGTTGAGAAGATCATTATGAAGACTGAGAGCGTAAGGAGTAAAGTTTTTGGAATCTGTGTGATACGGCATCATGATTCTCTGCCAGGGAGAAATTGGATACGGTTTTAACAATCCTTGTGCTTGTACTTGATTTGCCAGGAGCCAAGATGTGGCCAGTCTTCTATCATAGATCTGGGAGGGGTCAGTGGGTTGTGGCTGATGAAGTCGAACCGTCGAATGCGCGAAATATGGCGATCCTTGTTGATGCGGTATTGGTGCTGGGGCCAGTGATGTTTTTAAGGACATATAATCCACGACGTTAGGCGACAGCTCCGGCTGGGGATATGATTCTGAAAAGATAGAATTATAGATTAAAATGTATATCTAAAAGTTATTTCTGTCTTTGAGGGTTTAGATGATTTATTTATTTTCTAACTATAACTGTTTATATTTTTAATGTGTTTTTAAATACAAATAAGCGTGATAATATGGCCGTATTAGCAGAATTTACATCAACGGAGGTAGCCTTAAAAATCTATCACCATATCTCGTAATCGTAGGAGATGTAAGAGTCAACTAAGAGAACCGCCAGAAAACCTAGTGGCGTCTAATAGCTTGAATAAAACTAAATTTAATATATCAAATCTAAAATATTTAGATTGGTAACGGGGAGTTACGTCTAGGATACGAAGGTGCACTAGCACCGAACACTAACTAGGCTTATTGTGATGTTTACAGCGTATATACAGCGTATATACAGCGTATACAACAGATATTAGAAATTTCGTACTGTATGCGTCACAGTCTCTATTAAGTGCAGCATTGACCCATAAGATTACAAGTCGACAAACTTAACTGCCAAAGGGCTTGTATTACTGGCTCACATATATTACACGATATTATACGAGTATAACGTTGATTTATAGATTTTCTAACGTTGAATAGTATTAAAAAATGTTTATAGCAAGAACACAAATCACAAGTCTTCATATACCTTTTATCTTTATTAAAATTAACAAGTGCACTGATGAATATAGGAGGAACACTTGCTAAGGATCAACATATAAGAAAATAGGCAACTGTTGAATTGCGGTTATGTATTGTATTGTGATTTGCGGTATTGTGTTATTGATCGTTATTATGGGCATTAAATAGAAATAAACGAGAAGGTTAAGTCCTTTAAAAGACTTGAAAATCGTGGCCATATTTATTTTGTGAAGTGCGAAGTTAGCTATTAAGAAGCTGAATTTGGTAAAAGAAGTTATTAAAACGATTGCTAAGAAACTTATTATATATACTAACACACATATATATATGCGTGTGTGTTAGTATATTAATTCATTGCAGTACAATGGTCTACAATGGACAAAGTATTTATAATAGCTATTTTATTTCTATAAAATAAAGTTTTCGACTATAAACTTTTAATAACGACTTAACGATAAGAAATAATTTATTATTTTATATACATGTTCCTTGTAATATTTTGTAAAAGATTACAATTAAAATTTATTCAAAAGAAAGTGGCTGTCATGACACGTCATTTATAAAACCTAAATAATTAATTACCTATATTTTTATCAGAGAAACTAAGTAACTATAAAAACGTTGGCAGTGATAATTGTTAAAACATATTACAATATAATCAGCATAATTTATCGTTGTTTGCGCAAGCAAATAATAGTTTTTACAACAAACTTCCTGCCTTAAATTTGGACATGTCGTCTAAAATTGTATAAAATTCAATTTCTTGGTGAGAATAATTTTGTTAAATTTAATGAACATACGTTTTGATAATAAATTACAAAAGGCTATTTAGTTCGCGGCCGATGTGTAGTAGTTAATATGTCTTTCGATCGTGATTATCTCGTTTCGGATTAATTGAATAAGAAACTATAAATTTTCATGTTTATTTTGACTTCCTTGCACCTGTCCTACGAAAACTATTAAGTGGCCCTACATTTAATGGCGTTAGAATAAACTTAGTTTACTTTATTAATTTGGTTTTGTTAAAATGTTAATATAATGATTGTATGGAAAACGAAAGTATTCAAATGTAGATAATATTTATGAGCGAATGCTTTGTATTTGGTTGTAACTTATTATTTTATTTCCTCAAAATATTATTTTACTTTAGAGATCCTTTGGTGTAGGTAAGAAACTGTTACTGATTTAAGATACGTTACTGAAAGGTTTTGTCAAAGTGCTAAATGCAAAGTGCTTAATGCGGAAGACTAACAGTTGTGAAATTTTTGAATTTATGATTGATAAAATGGCTCTCATTATGAGAGTCAATTTATTACCTTTACTTAGCTAATTTTCAGTAGAATACTCGTTGTGGTTATCCCTGGCATTTCGTTCATAAGAATTAAGTGTTTTTCTTTGTTACATATAATACGTACAGCAAATTTGAAATTTAAAGTTCAACGGTTTAGTAGCAGAGTTGCCAAGCATTTGGCTCCGGTGTTGCGGGGCTGCCGGGAACTTAACTCTCGCGCGGTACGTATTCGTATGGCTTACAGTTTGTTCAAGTCCAAATAAGGTTTTTTTTTAAATATTGGAATAAATAAAATGAATAATTTTCGTGTATCAGCTTCTTCCGTCCTAAGCTAGTGCGTCTTACCACTCACATATCGTCACTTGCTTTCAGCACGGCTAGCATGGGCTGGGGACAAAAAATTTATCCCCCGATTACATCCACTGACTAGAGATAAAATTATCTTGTCCTTATGCCAAAGCACGGCAACAGGGAGAAGTACATCCCCGTTTGTCATAACGAGTAGACATATGTATATCTTTTTTAAATAAAACTAATTTTACGTGCCAGCACCCGAAACGTCGGGAATATAAAAAATAAGTTAATATACGCGATAAAATCCGTAAAATTAGTTTTATTTAAAAATGTGTAGTGTTCGCGTAAATATAAGAAATCATATGTATATCCCCCGTCCGTAGCATGGAGCCTAATGGCACATGAAAAATTATACTTTTTTAACATCTGAAAGGTACAATTTTATCTTAGTTTATTGCACGTGGGTTTTAAGTTTATATTCGAACAAGAAATGTATCTAAGTCTATTTCCCATTTTATCTACTGTGGCCTCGATCAACAATGTTGATGGAAGTACTGTGGATATTATATTCACTGGTGTGCCCATGCTCGGAGGGTGGATAAAATTAAGCGAGGATTAAAATGTTTAATTTTCTCCTTTCCCCGGGGATAAAATTGTCTCCTGCCCACGCTAGCCCTTCACGTGGGATGGTAGTTAAGCACTAGATTGTAATTTAGAATGAGTAGGCTTTATTAAACTCTGCTTTCCTTAGTACGCGCCTTCATCTTTTAAAAGGGATGTAATGGCGTAGCATGGGTCGCTGTGGCTTGGGACCTTTAGAGCTAAAATTATTCCCATTTTCATGTCTTAAACAAATCGATAAGAATCTTCAACAGACTTTGTATTTATTTTTAAAATTAATCTAATCATTACTTGTATTTTTATATCTCCTTTGCAATTCGATAAGTGTGTAAGTGTATGCAGATTATTTTTATTTTCAGAACTTCCTTGCTATAGTGTTTGTAATGCTATAGTGCTATAGAGGGATGGTATTAACGCCATCTCTTTTTATATTGAAAAATCTGTCTAACATATCCCACAGTCACTTTTTATGACATCTACGCGGCGAAATGGGATAACGTATTCACTTGTCCCGCCACCATGTGGTTACGGTCCATCTAATATGGTTTGATGTTACGTGTATGAGTTCGAAAGAAAAACTTATATTCAAGTAATACACGGAGACAAACGAAATATACCAAAAGCCAAAAATTGTAACACTTGTGTGTTAAATAAATACTGCTTTGAAGTGAATCTCCTTTATGGAGGTAGTGGAAAAATTTAAAGTACGGTACTAAAAAAAGACGTCACGTTTTCTTGTGACGTTTTCTTATAACGTTTCACCACCGACGCTGCATGAGTATACTATTATTGAACATATTTATGTAAAACTAGCTGCTCCCCGCGACTTCGCCCGCGTGTTATTTGGGGGTTTTAATTTTTTTGCGCGGAACCCTAATTCTTTTTCTAAAATAAAAGTAGCCTAAGTTACTCCTTGTGACATCACCTATCTGCCAGTAAAAAACCCGTCAAAATCGGTCCAGTCGTTTCAGATATTAGCCGGAACAAACAGACAGACAGACGGACAGACAGACAGACAGACAAAAACTTTAAAATTTTTATTTTTGTTATTAGTACCGTATATACTTTCATATGCGTTTAGTAAAAAGCTGTAATTTTGACATTACAAACAGACACTCTAATTTTATTTATTTGTATAGATATAAAATAAAGATGTATGACATGTCGTAAAGAAGTTTCACTTCATACGTGTGTACACAATTACTCACACAATTTTTTTTTTACTTACCATGTCCACTCCTTGGTTCTTCATCACTCCACGCTAACCCGCTGTTCCTCAGAATTCTATTCACGGAGGAAACTGAAGGAATGGAGTGAGGCTCGCATACTCTTGCGCTGAGAAGCCTCTCTCTGATCTCCCAAGCGAACATGCCGGGGTTCTCTTGTTTCAGCCGTAGTATCTTCTTCACGACTGTTGGTGTTGCCACTTGCTGAAAATAAATTTGAGCTGTAAATATTTTTAAGAACGGAACTGAGCTGTACAACATTCGATGCTATAGTTAACTCGCATGATTTTAAATTCTAATTGGATTATATGGTTAATTAGATACATTTAATAAAACTAGCTTTATGGATTTTATTGTATGTAATTTTAACTTTATAATAGAAAGTAAAAGAACGTTGGTATAGAACATAATATTACATTATTTTACGCAGGTTTTATTAGCGTTTTTGTTCACCGTGTGACATAGAGATACTAGACATAGAGCCTATTCACAACCAAGCTTGGGTAGTCCTACATGGATTCCTCTACAAATTGTCTTAAAATAAGTTAAAATTAAACGCGATGAAAAACGTGAAACAAGTTTCATTTGGAATTCTACGTATTGTAGAAGATACAGATTATATAAAAAGCGTGGCCGACACATTCATAAAGACAAAAGACTTAGATAAGCTTATGATTTTATTTTAAAATTAGTTTCGTTGTTTTATATAACGCATATGAAAAGGTGCAGTGCGTATTTACCTTGACTTGTATGAAATACGAATCACGTATGGTCGAGATGGACGTAATTATTGTTAATTTCTCTGTGAGGGTTACGCTAAAAAATTGATGAAAAGAAGTAAATATGCACATACGCCGGTAATAACACAAAATTACCGGGTTAACAGCACATGTCATGAGATTCCGATGAGCGAGGCTTACGCGTTAATGTATGTTTAATAATGGCGCTCACTCGTGATGTTTGTATTTACGGGAAACGTGTCATTTACCACCTCGAAAGTGTGAAAGTCATTCATTTTTCTTTAATGGGAAATATGAACCGTTGAGCCTGTAGTTGGAGAAGCTTTATGGTGATGTTAGTGTTTTAAGCCATTTCCTTGATTCGTTTGTTTTTTTTTCGTACACAAAACAGAATAGATAATGTCGTGAACCGTCCTAATAAGTAATCTGGATCGTATTTCAAAACATGTTTACATAACATTATTAAAGATATTAACAGTAACGAGTTACAGCACATATTGTAAGACAAATAAAATAAAATAGCCACATATTCCACCTTCATTACATTGAATATAAAATCAATTTATTTATGTTTGATTACTTTCCGAAAGTTTTTAGATAAATAATATTTCAATTGAAGTTACAACCTTTATACGTCCCAGTTCTGAGTAACCAACCTCCAATAATTTCTGAGAGAGTTCCTTCACCGCGAAACTCGTGGTAAATCAGCACTTCAAATTGCATTTAACAATTTCATTGGTACCGGCGGGGGCGAATCCGGGTTGATAATAATTAGTCCCTGAACTCTTTTTATATCATTAATTTCAAATATTTTTAATGACAATGAATATTAATTGATAAAAATGTTATGTTACCATTTGATAAGCAATTGGATTTTTCTGGTTATTTTAATTTTATTATTAATATTAAACTTAAGTTGATAAATAAGTTCAAAATGTTAACATTCTATCTTTGTTGCCCGTTGAGTGTTCAAAAATTTGTCCTATTCAATTTAAAAAATAATGAAATAATTTTAATTTTATTATTAATATTAAACTTAATTTGATAAATAAGTTCAAAATGTTAACATTCTGTCCTTGTTTGCCCTTGAGTGTTCTACAAATTTATCCCATTTAATAAAACACCACGTTATTTTAGGTATAATTATATCTTAATCATTATAATAAAAAACAAGGAAACAATAATTTACTAAATACTACAAAAAACTAGGAATTTAATTATCATACAGTCCTACTCCCCGCGGTATCGTGCCAAGAACGTTGGCTGCGTTTCCCCGCTGAATGGCTATACTTAGCCTTTGAGCGAGGAAAGAACCAGCCCTCTTATCACCAGCAGCAACGACCAGCCGCGGATGGAGTTCCTTTAGGAACTTCACCGCACGTGGACCCCACGGACCGATAGTCTCTACAGCAAATGGCACAAATATGTAGTCATCTCTCAGAGACTCATATTTGCGCCACTTACTCAGTTCAGCTGCCTCTGATGCCGCCCCGGCTTTAAACGAGGTACCCCTGAGATGAGAGGCCGCCAGAGTGTCTACGCAAGTAGCATCCCACACTAGGGCTTTACCTCTCTCCCAAGGGACCAATGTCATACCGTCGGGTCTCTTGCCATCGTCTCTAAATATTCCACAAGGCTCTAAAACCGAGGGAACATTTATAGAGGCAAGAGCCCTTCGTATGACATCGTTTCAAATATTTTTAATGATAATGAATTTTAATTGATAAAAATGTTATGTTACCATTTGATAAGCAATTGGATTTTTCTGGTTATTTTAATTTTATTATTAATATTAAACTTAAGTTGATAAATAAGTTCAAAATGTTAACATTCTATCTTTGTTGCCCGTTGAGTGTTCAAAAATTTTGTCCTATTCAATTTAAAAAATAATGAAATAATTTTAATTTTATTATTAATATTAAACTTAAGTTGATAAATAAGTTCAAAATGTTAACATTCTATCCTTGTTGCCCGTTGAGTGTTCTACAAATTTATCCTATTCAATTTAATAAATAATGAAATAATTTTAATTTTATTAATAATATTAAACTTAATTTGATAAATAAGTTCAAAATGTTAACATTCTGTCCTTGTTTGCCCTTGAGTGTTCTACAAATTTATCCCATTTAATAAAAGACCACGTTATTTTAGGTATAATTATATCTTAATCATTATAATAAAAAACAAGGAAACAATAATTTACTAAATACTACAAAAAACTAGGAATTTAATTATCATACAGTCCTACTCCCCGCGGTATCGTGCCATGAACGCTGGCTACGTTCCCCCGCTGAATGGCTATACTTAGCCTTTGAGCGAGAAAAGAACCAGCCCTCTTATCACCAGCAGCAACGAACAGCCGCGGATGGAGTTCCTTTAGGAACTTCACCGCACGTGGACCCCACGGACCCAATAGTCTCTACAGCAAATGGCACAAATATGTAGTCGTCTCTCAGAGACTCATATTTGCGCCACTTACTCAGTTCAGCTGCCTCTGATGCCACCCCGGCTCTAAACGAGGTAAGGTAGAGACAAGAGCCCTACGGATGACATCGTTCAAAGAACCGTGCCGTGACAACCTGCCAGCACTTTTCTTACATGAAAGTCCGTGGAGCCCAAACTTATCGACGCTGCTACCAAAGGGGCACTGATGGGGTTGACAAATCGCCGGATTCCTACGGCGATGCGCAAGCTTTCCCCATCAAGTAATGTACCGAGATTACTTGATGGTAAAGCGTGTAACCAGTGATTAGATTTCTTAGTCGAAACAGCTAGAAGGCGTGCCTTATCTTGGTCACTATGGAAATTATGAAACAAATATTTCTGCACGCTCCTTACCAACGGAATATCCCACTTTTTTCCAGTGGAACATTTTCACCGGGACAGAGCGTATGCCATGTCTGCCCTGCCTCCGTAGCAAAACAGAGGTGTAGTTTATTATTTAAAATTATGTTACATAAGTCATTGACACTATGCACGTAAGCAAGGAAAGCAGGCAATGCAAAATTGATAAATAAAAAAATATCTTAATTGATAAATATTCCGTCGCTGGTGGCGTGAGGAAATCCATCACCCGTTTTTGTCCCGTGGGTGTCGTAAGAGGCAGCTATGGGAAATGCCAGCAAAATCCCATGGCTTTGGACAGATTGCAGTATTCAGAGAAGACAGATCCAACCGTACGAAATTATTTGAGTTTTGATGAAGTAGCGAATACAATAATGGAAATGAGAAATATAGCAAACCACATGTGGTTCTTGGTACTGAGAAATTGCGCTATTTAGGTACTATGGACGAGCTAGAGCAAGGGGTTGTAATTCTGGGAGAGAATTTATGCGTTTTTGGAGCTGAACCGTTGTCAATATATGTCAATAGAACAAGAACGTGCGGTATAACTATCTCGTTTAGTTCAGACGTATAATGCTCAGACAGGCAAATAGCAGTAGCTTCAATGGTGTGAGACATCGAACACTGCAATCGTCAATTTCCCTGCCAAGCGTGTCGATTAAGACATATCCACCCTACAGTGGAAAAGGTCTATTTTTAATGAATAAGGGTGACAAACGAGCACACATTCCACCTGATGGTAAGTGGATGCTTTGGCCCATAGACATCTCCATTTATCCTCGATTAAGAATTCAAAAGCAGGTGCATTGTCACCCCTGAAGACTAAGATGGAATGCCTCGTTTCCAGTAAAAAGGATGTGCGGTTCTTTACACTCGCCATATGGAATACAGTAGCCTTAAGCTGCTATTTTACGCTGGTACTCTGTGAGAGAGTGGTCATACCTGGTCGGGCCAACCCATTCGTGCTACAAATAATATAGCTGCAGCATGGCTCTACCACGTATACCTATGTCTAACAATGTACTTTTGAGTCTCGATAAAGAAGAAAGAAGGAGAAAGAAAAGAGAAATATTACGTGGTAGAGCCACATTGCAGCGTATTATGGCTGCAGCAAATGGTTAATTATGTTCGGCACGGCATACCGAGGTGGTATAACAGCATATTGCTGCTGTGTTACTATGATGGAATACCTCGGTACCAGTAAATGTGTCCTCGGTTCTCTGCATTCACTGTATGAAACATAACAAGATTATGTTGCTATTTTACGCTGAAGTTCTGTGAGTGGTCCTTCTCCGGTTATGTCAGAGGTTCGTTAGTACACCAAGCGTAGGTACGGGTGACACTTAAAGAAGTTGGTACATTCCCATCATCATCATCGTTATCATCATTTCAGCCTCTCACAAGTCCACTGCTCAATTAGGGTACAAAACACGGTTCTCAGCCACCTCCATCTTGCGAGATGGTCATTTTATTTAGTGTGGGACCGCTCCACTCTGATTAAGACGTAATCGATGAGTTACCCAAGTTTTGGAACAGTCAGGCACCGGGTACGAGGATTTGTATATTTTGAATATTTTAAATATCTTCAATGTTTTGTTTTACATGTCCAAGGGACCGTAAACTTTAGTATTTTATTTCAATTTTAATTTAATAACTCTGCCCGTTCCTGAGAAAAAG